TATATACAATCATGTCATCTGCAAATAGTGAGAGTTTCACTTCTTCGTTACCTATTTGGATTCCTTTTATTCCTTTTTCTTGCATAGGGCACTTTTTAATTGCGTGATAAAAGTCTATTTTTTGGCTACCACGCTCTTCCGAGGGCTTAAAGTTCAAAAACCATTTCAGCTGAGGTTTTGAAATGTCCTTTACTTAAAATGGAGACTTGTGCCTGGATTCACAGTTTCAGTCTAGGACTGCTCATCTGAACAGTACGATTGGGTAGCACGGGTTTTTTATGGCGACGAATCAGCAAACAGTGACCTGACCTCTTACTCTTCTTTCTTTTTTCAGATAATAGTACCGAATTTTGGGACACAGATATAAAATGGTTTTCTCTGTTGGAAAGTAGCAGCTGGCTTGACGTAATCAGGTATTTCAAGCCATTGTTTTTGTTTTGCTCATAAATTTTATAGTTCTCTAATTCAAAGTAGTAAAGCAAATTAACAAATGATTTAACTGTTTTATATTTCATAGTTAAATATTCTTTGATCACATGTTCTATTCAGGGCTCAGCTGGATTTTGCATGTGTTATTTATTTACTGATTGATTGATTCATTCATTCATTCATTTTGCTGCAGAAGATTAGCCCTAAGCTAACATCTGTGCCAGGCTTACTCTATTTCGTATGTGGGTCGCCTCCACAGCATGGCCTATGACGAGTGGTGTAGGTACGCGCCCGGGAACCAACCCGGGCCGCCGAAGTGGAGTGTGCCAGCCCTTTGCATTTGTTATTTATTATATCTGTGCACATTTGATCAGAATTTACAGACATGCTGTCTGCTCACGGAGAGATCTACTCTCTAGACTGTAGACTAGGCATTGAAGGACCACAAAAAAGGAGACGTGGCAACCCAAAATTCTGATTGAGGCCGCAGTGCTGGCCTCCAGGAAGGAAGCTGGGGATGGGGAGGGGGAAGGGTGCTAACTTTTTACTGAATACCTTTTTAGAGGAATTCTATGTCCTATATGTATGCACCTATTTAAAAAATTTTAAAATCATGATTAATGTCAGTCAGTCATTTTTGGTTTTGGAATTAGGTTGAGATTCCCAGAGAGGAGAATTATATTCCTTTCCTACTTCGTAGTTTGAATGGCTCCTCTCTGTTGCTATTAAATAGAGGAGAGGACAAAGGGAGGGTACAAAACAGAAATGGTCAGGGATGAGGAGTAGCTCCCACCCTAGGGAACACTTGAGGAAAAAGAATTCTTCCCTTTACCCAGCACGGCATTCTCTCTGAGTTCTGCCAGTGAGTTTTGTGGAAAGGAGCTCCAGCCCTCCAAACCCTTATTAACAAATATGTTTTGAAGAGCCTGCTACATGTCCCATAATTTGTATATATAACTGCAAACAGTGATACATGTTATAAGAGAAAAGAACCCTTCTTTATGTGGGGTGGGCAGAGAGGGTTGAGCATCCCTAACCAGATGAAGGGGCACCACTGCAGGCAGTGAACAGCATATGTGAAGCCCGTACTTATGTATAAATAAAGAAAAGTCAAAGCTGCAGGGCCGGCCCTGTGGCTTGGCGGTTAAGCGCGTGCGCTCTGCTGCTGGCGGCCCGGGTTCGGATCCCGGGCGCACACTGACGCACTGCTTCTCCGGCCATGCTGAGGCCGCGTCCCACATACAGCAACTAGAAAAATGTGCAGCTATGACATACAACTATCTCCTGGGGCTTTGGGGGAAAATAAATAAATAAATAAGTAAATCAAAGCTGCAAACAGTGGCAACATTCTCAAAGGGAATATGGTATCAAGAGAGAGACAAAAAGGATTTCTGGGTATATTGGACCTTTGCAGCCGCACGGACACATTTGGCAGGAGACCTTGAATTCAACAATATGGACATGCAGCACAGTATCCAGATGTGAGCGTTTATGGGTCTTACTAGGACTCACCAGCAGACTCAAGCATGAGTTCTCACTAAGAATTTCTAGTTTAGAAATCACTTAGGAGCATTTTTACATCAATTTTGGGATTCCTTTCTGAAAATTTTAAGTTTCTAATAGGCAGGTGAGTTCTTGCAGTATCTGAATAACGTAAATGGAATTTATTTCTTTTCTGGAGGATTTTAGCATGAAAAAATAAAAGATAGGGGCCAGCTCAGTGGCATAGCAGTTAAGTTTGTGTGCTCCACTTCAGCGGCCTGAGGTTCGCCGGTTCGGATCCTGGGTGTGCACCTGTGCACTGCTCATCAAGCCATGCTCAGGCGGCGTCCCACATAGAGCAACTAGACAGATGTACAACTATGACATACAACTATCTACTGGGGCTTTGGGTAAAAAAAAGGAGGAAGTATGGCAACAGATATTAGCTCAGGGCCAGTCTTCCTCAAATTAAGATAAAATAGAAAAATAAAAGATAGAAAACTGACAATCAAGTCAGACTATCTCTAAATTTCTTATTGTTTAATACCACACTCAAGAACTAATGCCCCTTTTCTTGTCTCCTTCCTATTTAGACGTTGCCTGAAAAAAGCAATAGAGATTACAGAATGTCTAGAAGCACAAAACGTGAACGTTCTTCTTTTAGGTAATATATTTCAAGTACAGAGGGTGGTTTCCATTTTCCTTCACTTGAGATTCAGTTTCTGTAGATACAGTCTTATATAACTGGAATTGCCTTGTGAAGGCATGAGCTAGTCTAGGAATCTTTCCCATTCTTCTCTACCCTGACCTTGGAATCCTTTGCCTTGGATTTCAATGTCACGGTTTAAAAATAAAATCTTTCACTTGGAACTTGGCAGACCCATTCACAGCCCAAGAAGGAATTGTTTGGTATCTTTACCAAAGCTCACATTTCCTCATGTTTTGAATTTTGTTTTATATTAACTCAACTTGGTTAAAGTTAAAATCTTTGTATAATTCTTTTTATATAAAGAGAGTCATGGATGGTTTGTTGTTTTTATATCTTTGTGTTTGACAACCTTGTGCTATTGCCATAGAAACTTTGTGGTCTGTGATTTCCTTTTCCTCAGTGGGCTTGACTTGCTCTGTGTGGGGACAGGACATAAACATTCAGAATGTGTAAAAGCAAGTATAACCACATGCAACAAAGATTGTCACTGGAATTGGTTAGATCTGAGCTAAAATAGTATATCTGCTGTTTAGAATATTTCAAGTTTATTATAGCCCTATGCTTCAGATTAAATCGATTGTCTCATGCTTTCGTACCCTCAAGCTTCTACCATTTCTCTGACGCGCTCCGTGACTGCTGGGGTTTAGCTTCTGTGGGCAGACTGGAAAAGGTGCCTGGCTGTGGCTTCTACACCACCTGACCCTGGCTTAGATTTTAATACATCCATTGAGTAGCTACCGTGTACAGCCCTCTACACTGGAGACTTCCAGAAGTTTACAACCTAATGGGACAGTTGGCCTGAGCACGTTATTGAAAAAAACCTAATCAGCAATGCCAGAACAGAGAACTGAGTAACTGGTGATAAGGAGGAGAGATAAAGGTTGGGGGTCTGAGAGCTGGAGATACCCAGAGCCAGACTGCGCTAATCACAGAGTTGCATGAAACAAAATCTGAGTCTTTGGCTACTGTGGCTGAGATGTCACCTGCTCCTAGATGGACTGCTGCGTTGTTTCTCACCTGAAATCTTATTTTCTAGCCCTACTTCCTATTACCCACAGGTGTACTATTAACACCCTTCAGGGGCAGGAAGGAAGATTCCCTTAAAAATGAAACTTGTTTCGAAAACTAATAGCACTGGAAAGACAGAAATAAAAATCAGTTTCTGTTAAACCCATGCATTCCCATAGTTGAGGCTTGTTTCCTGGAGGAGAAAAAGAAGCACAAGCTAAGCCTGGCCCCGGGACGCTTCATGATCGCAGGGTCAGAATGAGAGTTTGAACAGTGTGAACATGTCCCTGCTTAGAATTCCTCCTCAAGTTTCTCGAACTCCACTGATGCCAGCACCATCATCCTCGTGGACATTTTAAAATAGCAGCTTGAGTTGTACTTCTTTCTGTGAAGAGGAAACCCCAGGGATGGAGACCCTGACTTTTGGGATCTTAAAACTCTGATACAAATGCATGGATGTAGACATATGTTTTTATTTGCTCCCAGTCATGAGTGTTAAACAAGTATGTGAATGGCGTTTTCGTCGTGTGGGTTTTGTACAGTGTGTTCCAGGGCTGGGCACGTGAAAGCAGACCACAGAGCGTTTCTCCTCTAGGCTAGGCAAGGAGAAGCAGGCACCTCGTTGCTCTCACACAGGATCGGGAAGAGCCGTGGAGCTGAGAATAAGAGCATTTTGATGCAGTCCAGAAATAGTAAACTTCCTCCAAAGCAGAGGTAGTGGAGGGATCGGGAGTGGAGGATAGGAGGTCTGAGGTGAGGCTGAGCAGCGGCTGGGCCTTGGAACAGTGAGTTCAGTGATGGAGACTGACACACTAGCTGGAGGGGTCTTGAACTTGGTCTGTGGAGCCTGGCAGGTCACCATTATGTGTATGATCCACCCTCATTATGTGGCACATCTGGGTGCCCACAAGCTGACGTGGCTTTGCCGTGCTGCATTTATTCATTCAGTAAGCAAGTCCATATTTAGTGCCAGTGTGTGCTGGAACCTGTACTGGGCAGGCTAGAAGCAGTTTGTCTCTCACTCTGAAAACATTACCTTTTTTTCCTGTTGGCCTGGCCTTTAGGGAATTAGAGCTTGCCTGTCAATAGCAGGCAGACCTTGGTGTTGGGAACCCACTGTTAACTGTGCAAGTGCAAGTGGTCTTTGCAGCTTTCTAACACTTCATACCCTCCTTCCTCTTTGCACTGCTGGGGCCCCTCCTAGAGGAGAACGCTTCCGACCTCTGCTGCCTCATTTCCTCTCTGGTGCAAGTGATGATGGACCCCCACTGTAGAACCAGGGTTGGTTTCCAGAGCCTCATCCAAAAGGAGTGGATCATGGGCGGGCACTGTTTCCTGGATCGCTGCAACCATCTCCGTCAGAGTGACAAGGAGGAGGTGAGTGTCCCCCTCACAGACGGGTTCAGTCATGGGGAGAAGAGCCCAATCTCTTATTTAATACTTGTCTTTAGATGTGGGGTTATTGCTTGCAAAGTGCATGCTCTATGAACTTGTTAGGAAGGCTGTGTTCAGTTCACGTTTGATGACTTTCAATGCTTTAAACTGTATTGAAATCCTTCCCAGAGGAAAGAGATGTTAACAAGTGTGTTCTGTCTTCTAAATTGTGTACACAAAGGGTGCATGTATATTTCATGGTGGGAGTAATATTGATTTTTAAAACTTTAAAAATTAACTCAGTGAGGGGCTAGCCAGGTGGTGCAGCGGTTAAGTTCATGCGTTCTGCTTTGGCGGCCCGGGGTTCACACAGTTCGGATCCCGGGCGCGGACCTACTCATCGCTCGTCAAGCCATGCTCAGGCAGTGTCCCATATAGAAGAGCCACAACACTACAAGTATGTTACACAACTATACACTGGGGCTTTGGGGTAAAAAGTGGAAGATTGGCAACAGGTGTTAGCACGGGGCCAATCTTCCCCAAGAAAAAAATTTTTAGATTTAAAAAAAATTAACTCAGAGACTCCTACAATTTCTGCTAAGTTAGTCTTTGCAAAAAAATGAATATTCAGTGTGTAAGTTTCCTACAGAATAATAACATAAATTTTCCTTGCACAGAAACTTTTTCAAAATAAAGCACAGAGGTACGTTAATGCTGTCCGTTACCAGGGCCTTAGCAGCGTGCGTGTGAGCTGTGCGCACAGCCTTCTCTGCCTTCTGGCTGTGTGAACTGCTCCAGGCCTGGACCCTGAATTCAGTCACAGGAGAGGGAGAGAGTTAGTGTTATAGTTTGGTTAGTGAAAATGAGCCCCCACATTGTGGTGGACTTGTCTCAGCCACAGCTGTACAAACTCCTTTGGCTGCATTGTTAATGATTGTGGAAGGAAAAATGAAAACAGGTGAACTTTCTTTAATTGAATCACCTGCAAAGCTACCGTATGCTAGCAGCGTAACTGGTGGTTTTTCTTACTCCAGATAATAAGCATGTCTGTCTGCGGTGCAGTGCAGCTTGACAAAGCATGCTGTGGGGATAGCCGTGGCTCTTGCCTATGAGGGCTTGGTGTGTTCCTGGAAGACCCAGGCCCCTCCTGCTAGGCCTGGAGGTTTCTTTCAGGCCTGCTCTGTACTCATCTGTGTCTCATCAAGCTGAATGGAAATCACCATCTTTCAGTCTTGGAATGGGCCTTGCCTTTCTGAGAAACTGATTTGAAAGGTTGATAGGACTTAAGTAACATGTTGAGCAGAGAGCTGATACTGTGTGGGGAAGAGTGTGCTTTTGTGTATCTTGAGAAAATGAGGCCTGACAGGCACCACGTCAATGGAGAAAGAGGCTAAGAGCAGACCTGCTCTGCTCTTCACCCAGCCCTTGGAGGAGGCACCCATGCTTTCTGAGCCCGTTTCCCTGACTGCACAGTGAGCATATTGTACAGATCTTTCCTACTCTATTTAATGGTATTGAGCATAAAATGAGGTGTGAAATAAAGTTGCTACATAAACGTTTCTTAGCACCTCAACGTTGACATATTAGAGTTTTGAAGGAAAATTGGTGGACTAATTTGTCACATAATTGACACAGCACTGGACTTCAGTACAAGAGCTGGACTCTCAGCTCGTGTCTCTGTGAGCTGTGTGTGGCCTTGGGCAGCCTCCGTAAGGGAAAGACTGCATCACTTGTCGTGTCCACCTGACAGGGTCACTGGTGACTCAGGAAGGATAAGCACTTTGTAAATGGCCGAGCACCCTACAAAACTACTCTCTCCACTAATAGAGGGCTTGCCTCTAGGTAGCTAATACAGGAGGCTATCAGTTAAAAGAAATTTGTGAAAAAATGTTGGAAACTCATTTTTTACTGCTTCTGCCTTCTCTCCTGTCTTCTCTCTTCTGGGCCTTTATTGTAGCAGATGGAGAAGGGAGGCCTCTCGTTTTTGCTCAGTCCCCGGGACCAACCCCTGACTTAAGTTAGTGTGTTGGCAGGCAGGGGAATGGAGGTTTTTTCATCTACAATTTTTTATTGACAAAATTCAAAATAATTGAGTACAGTTTTTTTGTAATACAGTGCTACTAATGAGAAGAATGGAATTCTTTGGGGGTAGATAACATTTCACTTAATTGGGGTTCAGAGTTAGTGTTCCCTATCATCAAAATCAGTTGCACGTGCTCATCTTTCAATGCTGATTGATAATGAAATTTTACATATTACATCTTGGAAATTCACACAGGTAGGTACTGCCAAGTACTGATATTAATCTATTAGCATGTGGTTGCTCCTGAGCATATTTATCAGAATGGGATGGGATGGGATGGAGTCTACTGTGTTTCCCAGAGAATATCATGCTCAGAGTGTTTATTCCACGACCGTTGAGATGGCTGTCCCTTAACTTGGGACAGCTGACATTGGACTCTTGGTGCTGCTCAGTAACACGTATCTTGTTTTCACGTAGGTTCCTGTGTTCCTGCTTTTCTTAGACTGTGTCTGGCAGCTGGTGCACCAGCACCCCCTAGCATTTGAATTCACGGAGACCTACCTGACTGTTTTGTCAGATAGCCTGTACATACCTATTTTTAGCACCTTCTTCTTCAATTCGCCTCATCAAAAAGATACTAACCTGGTAAGAGCCCCTCTTAGGAACCTATGTATTGAAGAAGCCCTGTCTCACAAGTAGGATGCAATAAGATTAATGAAAAAAATATTTATTTAACATTGACAATATACTAGACCCTATTCTGAGTGTTCTTTGGGTATTGATATTTAATCCTCATGGTACCCTGTGGAGTCTGTGTTATTATCCCTGAGGAGCTGAGGCACAGAGAGGGTTAAGTAACTCGCCTCAAGTCGTACAGTAAATATTGGAGCTGGGAGCAAGTATTGGAGCTGGGGAATTAAGCAAAATTAAAAACTCTCCTTTGTAAAGACAGTCAACCTTCTCTTCCATGTGCATGTTGCCTGGAGTTACTCGGAGGAGATTGGAGACAAGGCAGAGCAGGGAAGCTAGATTTGTACTTTCCATCTCAAGCCCGTTGAGCCTCTCTTGAGGCCGTGCTCCCAGCGGTTACTTGTCTAACTGATCTAGGTGCTCTGAGCAGCCTTCGTTGGGCCTCAGGGTTTGCCTGAACTGGCCCTCCAGGAGGGACTTCCCCAATCCCACAGTGAAGTGGGAAAGGCAGAACCTGGGCTTCCAGTCACACAGCCCCAGTTTCGGATCCCAGCCCTGCCACTCACCAGCTTCGTGACCGCAGGCAAATCACTTCCATTTTCTGAGCCTCAGTTTCCTGAAATATTAAATTGGAAAAATAACAGTGACCTCACAAGGTTGTTCTGAAAGTGCCCGGCACAGTGGCTGCTATATGGCCTGCTGGAAAATGACACGACCTTCTTCCCTCCCTCCTTCCCCACCTAAAGCCTTCAGGGAACAACCACTGACAGCTGCAACCTTTAAAATGAAGTGCCTGTGAACGTTTTGTCTCGGGGCAGCACGGGAGTGCCCTTCCTGGTGCCTGTCTCTCAGCATTCTGTGTTTGCTTTCCTCAGACCCCCCTGGAAGCCGTCGTGACCTGTGCTTGTTTTGGCAGGGTACGGAAAGCCAGGATACACAAAGCAAGCCTTTGAATCTGCTCACCGTGTGGGACTGGTCTGTACAGTTTGAACCGAAAGCCCAGACATTGCTCAAAAACCCCCTTTATGTGGAAAAGCCAAAACTGGAGAAAGGCCAGCGGAAAGGAATGCGTTTCAAAGTAAGATGTGCACATGTCTAACCCCCTTCCTCTGCCCAGAGATCCCCATGTATGTAAGGATGCGAGTTACACATGGATTATGGAAACAGTCTGCAGAGTCGAGATTTGTGATGGGCAGATTGTCAGGGCCCATGAGAATCCTTTGCTTTCAGCAAATCAGCCTTTGCCCTGATGAGACATGGCCCTTTGCTGCATGTCACTGGGGTGCTGCGTGGAGTCGTGCGTCTTCCCCCCACCTGGGTCTGTGGTTAGTAGAGTGAAAGGAACATCCTATGGGCTTTGCTCCATCTGTACCAGTTCATGTCTTCAATAGCAAGACCTTTTTTATTTTTTTAATGCTTTTTTTTGCATTTTATTTTATTTTATTTTTTTGTGAGGAAGACTGGCCCTGAGCTAACATCCGTGACCATCTTCCTCCACTTTACGTGGGACGCTGCCACAGCATGGCCTGACGAGCGGTGTGTTGGTGCGCGCCCAGGATCCGAACCCAGGCCGCCAGCAGCGGAGCGTGCGCACTTAACCACTATGCCAGGGGGCCAGCCCCAGCAAGGCCTTTCTTCATGAGATGGACCTGTAACTTTTTCCGTCAAGGCCCACACAGTCTCGGGCACAACTCCCCACCAGGCCAGATTTGGCCCGCAGGCTGCAGTTGGCTGATTCGTGCTATAAACCACGAACGTTGAATTATTTGGGTTTCCCTTCAGATATTTGTTCCTGATTTTACTAGTTATTAAAGCCCCCAGGTTCCCTAAACAATACATGATTTACCTGGCGTTCCTGGCTCTGTCCTCCTGGCGTGGAATTTCTCCCCCACAGACCCCACAAAGCTGAGAGCATTGGTGGTAATTCCCGGGTCAGTGCATGTCACTGCCTTCTCCACACTGTGCTTCTGATCCCGCCTGCCCTTGAGGGGTTCCAGGGAGCCTGGCCAGTTCTGGCATGGGAGGGGGCTCCATACTAAAGAGGCTTGGGGACCCAGGCAAGCCAAAGCCAGCACTTGCAGAAGATGCCAGCTGCTGAACAACTTAGAACTGCCGCTTTGCCCTTTCAAGGGTCCTCAAGCCCAGGGTGGATGTTTCCCCTCCTGGTTCAACCTCTTTCCTGCCGGCTGGACCACAACTGCCCTGAGATCCGGAACAGCTTGGCCAGAGGTCAGTTTTTCTTCAGTGTGCTCTGCCCCCTGGTGGCTGCATGCACACATCTCGCCTTGTCAGGATCGCAGAACTGCCCCAGGCCAGAGAGGCAAAGGACCTCACAGACAGCGAGGGCTAACCCCTTATTTTACACAGGAGGAAACTAAGGCTCCACCGTGTAAGACTAGATTTCATTTCTCTGCCCAGACCTGTTTTTCTAAGTGTCTCGTCTCCCCATAGGTAGGAGCAGATTGACTGGATTCCAAGAGCTGATGAGTGGGAGAGATTTGAGCCGAAGGGTTGGAGAATCTCAGATTGTATTAGTGAAAGCAGAGTTGGGCTGGGGCAATGAGGAATTGTGAAGCCTTTGGGTTAGAAGACCTGATGTCAGGCTTGAGCCCCCGTGTTGAGTGGACAGACGGCCTTGGAGAAGGTCTGTAGAGACTGAAGAAGCTGTGGCTGACCAGCATAAAGTACCATTCTGAATTACCACGCAAGGCCATGGGGTCTGCTCAGGCAGGTAGTCTCATCTATGGCCATACTACGCTGAACGCGCCCAGTCTCGTCTCATCAGATATGTGGTCTTAACCTTAGCCCCAGGCCTTGACCAGGCTCCGGGCACCTGGTGCTGCTCCCATCTGGCCCGTCTTGAATGCTCCCTTCACTTAGGAGACTGAGAGAAGGGCCTTCCAAGTCAATCGAGTTCTCTTAGGAGCCAGGGCTCTGGAGCCAGACTGTCTGTGTGTGAGACCACCTCTGGCCCTTGGTAGCTTGTGTCTTTGCCAGATTTCTTAACCTCTGTGCCTTAGTTTCCTCCTTTGTAAAATGGGGCAATAATAGTGACTTTGAGAATTGGGTAGGTTGATGCATGGAGAGCACTGAGCACAGAACCTGGCAGGCAGGAAACGCTCGGTGACTGTTAGGTTCCACCTGTGTTCCCTGGCCCCTGCCCCGCCCAACTCACCTGGATCACCAGGGAGAAGAGAGGCCTCCGACTCCTGGCCTTCGGCTTTCCCGTCCCCGGATGGAAAGTCAAAAATCCCAGTCATCTCTAAATTGTGGTATTGTGGATGGTTTTGCTTTCTTCTTTATATTGTTATTGTTATTCCATATTCCATTATAAGGAAGTATTTCCTTTACAATAAAGAATCTTTTTTTTTTATAAGAAAGAACCACTGGCAGAAATATGTTAGAGAGTTATAAGACTAGCCTGAAAATAAAATTTTTATCTATTCTTATTTTGAATGGACACCTCAGGAGCAAAAGAGTTAGGAGAAACAGCTTCTCCTCACATTTTTTACCTTCTCCTTTGGGCCCTGGGGATCCTTCGTAACCTTCTGACCACTGTACCCATCTTCACAACCCTCTCACAGTGCACCCCAATATGTAACACCTAGCTTTGGCTGCAAGTAGAATTACCGAGGAGGAAAGAAACGTAAATGCTCTCACATTTTTCTGCTCCCTGCAGCTTGTCAGACAAGAACATCCAGTCAGCTTAGCCAGTTCCTCACATTCCTTTTGCTCCCACCTGTCTGTTTGTCCAAAAGAATCTTTATGACTTAGACTTAAAACTCCCTTCGGCTGCCCAATAACCTACAAAGTTATTTCATTAGAGGGGTAGGATCTTCAGGAAGTCAACCCTGCTTCCTCACAGGTGTTCAGAGTAGTATAGAAGCTAAGACTCTAAAGCTCTCAAAGAAGAAACATTTTTCTCCCTTTAAAAATGAATAGGCCACACATTAGACTCCCCTAAATCATCGACCTAAGTTAAGCTTGTTCTTCAAAAGTGCTTAGTGCCCTTTGGTGCCCCTGTGACAGGGGAGAAGGGGGTCGAAAGCCTCCCTCTCTGTGTCACAACTTGCCTTTCTGCACAGCTCCGTATGCACCTGGTTTCACCCATTTGTTTATTAATACAGTGTGCATCTAACATTTGCATCATGGAATGAACAAGAACCCCCCTTCCTCTCTGCGTTTTAATGAATTTGCCTTTACACGGCAGTTCTGATGCCCGCATGACTCTTGTTAAAGCAGGATTATGCCCTTTCTGGATGGGAACAACTGTAATTGTTCTCTCAGGCTAACCAGAGATTTTTATTTGTGTTTTCTCTCAAAGCATCAGCGACAACTTTCTTTGCCACTTACCCAATCTAAATCATCTCCCAAAAGAGGATTTTTCAGGGAAGAAACAGATCACTTAATTAAAAACCTTCTGGGCAAGAGAATTAGTAAACTAATTAATTCTTCTGATGAGCTGCAAGACAACTTTCGAGAGTTCTATGACAGCTGGCATAGCAAGCCCACTGACTACCACGGTCTGTTGTTGCCTCATATCGAGGGGCCGGAAATCAAAGTCTGGGCCCAGCGCTACTTGCGTTGGATTCCAGAAGCCCAAATCTTGGGAGGTGGCAGAGTGGCCACCGTGAGCAAACTCTTGGAAATGATGGAGGAAGTACAGAGTTTACAAGAGAAAATCGACAAGCGACATCACAGCCAGGAGGCCCCCCAGGCGGAGGCCCCCTCCTTGCTGCGGACCTCTGCCCGCCTGTCCTCTCTGTTTCCTTTCGCTTTGCTGCAGCGACATTCCTCCAAGCCGGTCTTGCCCACGAGCGGCTGGAAAGCTTTGGGAGACGAAGAAGATTTGGCCAAACGCGAAGATGAGTCTGTGGATCTGGGGGACGTGTGACTCGTCTGTTCAGTGATTGTGAGAGAGGAATGCTGAAGATTGGGACGGGAGTCAACCCCGTTTGATCTCTGGATTGGTGTGTTCCGCTGAAGCTCACTGCTGGGAGGGAGGGGCCTTCGTCCACTGTCCCGGAGGAGGAAACCTGGGCCTTCAGGACAAGAGCTGGTTCTCGTTTTTTTTGTTCATGGTCCTGAAAGACTATGCAATTAAAACCATATCTTTAGTATTATTAATTGAAAGTAATTACTACTTGACCCATAATCTAATTGTGGCCGTTGTCTGATGCGTACGTATTATACTGAACCTGCAGTGGCCGGTTTACTACTAGAAAGGGCTTTGGTAAGATCTTCTTGGGCTCAATACTTTCTTCACATCTTTTCTGTGCCACGATCATTTATCCAGTCATTTGGAATAGTGTCTTTCTAACCCATCTCAGTTTGGAGCAAGTTCCACTTTATGTGATATGTGTATGGTGAATTGAAAGATTCAGATAGAGGTGTTAAGACATATGGCATTCATTTAAACAACGCATAGCATTTTTCCTTTCTGTGTCCTCTTGCCTATAAAAAGCTGGGGAAATTCCACCCTTGTCACCCATCCTGCCGTTTCAGACCATCCTCCCTCCTGCATAGACTGTGTCACTTTGTGTGGGGGTGGTGGGCTGCCAACCACACCGCCCTTTTGCGTGTGCTGACAGCTCCAGGTCTCTCTCTGCCTGTTCTGTACCACTTGCCGCCATCCCTCCATGCTCCCCGCCTTAGTGCACATAGGCCCAGGATCTTGCTGCTAAACCTGTTGGTTAAACTGAGGGACTCTCTTTGGTTTGCCCAGAGGAGAATCCGTTCTTATGGAGGCTCTCAGTGTTTGAAAGTAATTGCTTTGCTTTTTTCTAATAGCGTGCCGAGGCCTCGGAGCATTTGTGACTGTGGTCCTCTGCAGCAGCCCCTCAGACAGTTTTTCCGAATTCTGTTACCTTCCAGACTGATGAGTAGGGTCACTTTTGAACTTGGCTTTCCTAGGGAAGCAGTTAAGTATCAATATCAGAAGTGATGGTCATCACAGAGTACCTCAGCGATTTAAAAAGCCATAGAAGAAACTTGACTATGCCTGGGAACCTTCTTGGATCTGCTGTCTAAATGATATATATTTTTAAATGCAGGAAAGTACACTTTGTAAGGACTAGTTTTTTCATTCTCAATGGAACCCTGTTAAATCCCACAAAAGGAAGGGGGAAAAAAGTCTCACATTAGAATGTTTCATATGGAATGTTTACCTTTTATATCTACATTTGCTCTCTGTTATAGATCCCAATTTGAATGTTACATGTTTAGAAAAACTTTCAGTTGCTCGAGGGCAAGAAGAAATTTTGAAACTGCTAACAAAGAAGAGTTTCTCAGTTTGCACTGAACCGTCTTTTGTACACACAAGAAACTGCTTTGCTCTTTTCCCCACTCCGTGTTGGCGTGTGAACCAGGTTGGTGTGTTAAGATGACAGAGGTTGCGGGGAGGGCAGGATTCGTGCACTGGGGGCCAACACACGTCCCGTCTTGATTGCCTTAAGAGTCTCACTATGAGGTCAGTGTTAGGCTTGCAATAGGGAGTTTTAGAGTACACTAGTTCATTAGCTACCTTCACGTACATTCTGTGGGCCTTCTTAAACTGGCACTAACCTCCACTCACTTCTCTGCCCCATTCCCTCCCAAATACACTATGGAGCTAACCATATTTTTGTTACCATATTATAACGTGAATATTTATACAGTAGCCTCTTCAGTCATAGGATCTTAGTAGTTTTCATTCCAAAAATGCCTGGTGTGATGCTTTATACTCCACAAAGTATGGTTTCAAGGCACAAGGTCATGGCCCTTGTCATAGCAGTTGAATGTGCATTGAAATATTTTTATACGATTTTTTTTTAATTACAATAGAAAAATAAGTAAGCTGTTGTAACATGTAAGGTCATGACAATTTATGTATTTATATTTGAAATCAGATTTCTATAAACTTGTATTTGTGTACAGCATTCTCTGTGGGTTTATATATTGTGACATTTTTATTCAAGATTGAGATGTGGATTATGCTTAACAGGAAAAGCTGAAGTGACCCCTTTGTTTAAAATGCTGCACTGTGCGAGTTTGGAAATGTACATTAATTTACTGTATATAATATCTTGAGTTTGTTTATACCTCCAAGTTTTTACACTGAAGATAAATTACCTTTAATTACATTCAAAACTTTTTTTTTTAAGGGAATAAGCTTTTGGGCTAAGTCTGTATAAATGTGCTTTTTATTTTCTGGATGTACAATGAAAGTTTATACTTGTATCTCACTGCATCGTATCTGATTGCAGATATTAAAGCACAATTTACAAGCAATGCTGTATTCGGTGTGGTTGATAAAGCACATGGAGTAATTACTTTCTTTCATTCAGGAAATGTTTTTAAGCATGTCCTGGGTGCCAGGCAGTGTCCTAGGAGATGTGAGCAGGTGGAAGCTCTGCTCTCTTGGAGCTTACATTCGTGTGTGTATGTGTGTGTGTATGTGTGTGTGGTTGGTGTTGGGAAACCAATAACCAAATGTTTAAAATTTCACGTGGTGATAAAATGCTGTGAAGAAAAATAAAATACGGTGACTAAAAGAAAAGGGTTTTTTAAATCCATGAAATTAAATATTACTGCCTCTTTGCTTTCATTGGGATACATAAAATGAGAATTCTGTTTTGTCGCTGGAAGAGATCTGAGTTCAGTTAAAGCATGAAAGAGAAACCCTCACTTTTTCCTTCCAGAGACGATAAGTGAGCTGGCACTGAGCGAAATGGGATGTGAGAGGAGGATTTTTTCTAGTTCGTTTTGTTTAACACTAGATTGAGACCTGTCGCTCGTGTTTGTTGGGGGAAGTTCCATTTCTTTGCCGTTTCCTTCTGGCAGCCCTCTTCTTTCCGTCAGGACAAGAGAAGGCGTCCCCCTCCTCTGTCTGCCCCCTCCGGATGTCACAAAGCCAGCTCTGAGGCATCCCAGGAACTTCATAAGTCCTCGTGCTGCCACCTTCTTGCAAGTTTCAGCTCGTGGATGTTGGTAGTAAGTTCCGCAGTAGTCGTCATGACCCTGTAGATGAGCAGATTCTGGTCCTGTTTTCTGCATTTAACAACTCGACCTTTTTGGTGGACTCGGCTGTCTTTTTTTTTTTTTTTTTTGTGAGGCGATCAGCCCTGAGCTAACATCTGCCAATCCTCCTCTTTTTTTGCTGAGGAAGACTGGCCCTGGGCTAACATCCATGCCCATCTTCCTCCACTTCATATGGGATGCCACCACAGCATGGCTTGCCAAGCGGTGCGTCAGTGTGTGCCCAGGATCCAAACTGCACGCACTTAACCGCTTGTGCCACCGGGCCGGCCCCTGTCTCTTTTCTGATTCTGCTTGTTCCTCGGTTTCCAGGTGAGGGTCAGGAGTAAAGAGTGGGGCATTTCCATCTAATATGAAACAGGATGGTGGAGGCAGGAGGTGCCCGTGCCTTTGTGTCGCCTACTGTTCTGGAAGGGGAGTGGGGGGCAGCAGGAGCCTGGATTACAGCCTGTTTTCAGGGCCCTTCCTGATTGTGGTCAGAGTTGCTCAACAGGAGAAGAGTCTCAGCTATGCTTGTGCCCCCTGGGGCTCTAGGGCATTTATGTCCCCTGGGGCAGGACAGATTGGAGCTGAGCACCCAGGCCCCCCTCCCCCACCCCACTGCAGGGACAGGGTCTATAGTGACCTTCCACATATACCTTTCCAACAGCCTCCCCTACGCCCACACACACACACGCATGCACACACAAAATATACCGCTGTGGGAGATCAAAATTGGCCACCCTGAAATATGTCTCTTTACCTTGATTATTTTCTCTGGGGTACATTTGGCCTCCCCCATTAACTGCCTAAAGGAATTTAACTCTGGGTATGGACAGACTGGCAGGGTCCTCACTAAGCCCATTCTTAACAAAGTTCTGTTTACCAAACATTTACATTTATAAGGGAAATCTCCATTTGTAAAGATATCTCCCTCTCTGTATCGGGAAGAGGGGGGATGGCCTTATCTGTGGAAATTCTCATCAGTATGGAAGGAGAGGACCTCAATCTACATACTCTTTTTTTTTTTTTTTTTT